CCATTTGTCTCCCACTTGTCTCCCAGTAAGCTCTGGATGCTCTGAGTCACAACCTGGATCCATAAATTTCATGTTTTAGCCCTTGTACGGCGTCCCATTGTAAGGTCAATGAAAAACATAATGTTAATGCTTTCCCTTTGAATCTTGTATGTGCGTCTACATGGTGGACTACAGTTTTCTTCCTCTAGGAAATACTGCTGGCCATATTGTTCGGAGATCTCATTTTTGAACATTGCTCTGTTTGGGGTCTACGCTGGTATAATTTTTGGGTGGTATTTGAGGGACCCCGGACCCCTGAAGGCCACAGTCGGACACTGGGCACTTGGTGGTTCGGAGCCTCTTGAGCTCTGTTTTTGGGTCCAGGCTGATGGCACAGAGTTCCTCAACTTGCTGGATATGCCCGGAGACCCAGATGACTGGAGAGTTTTTGGGTGCCGCGTCCACTGGGTGGAGTGGCCCAGGCTTGGGGGGAAGGGAGGTTCCTGATTCCTTTTTTTTAGGACTTGACTGGTGGTACCAGCCAAGATGAAAGGTAGCGGTTTGTGCCAAGGTACGGGAACCACAGAGAGGGTAGGAAGAAGCAGCTCCAGCAGATAGATGGGCCATACCTTTGTAGGAAGTTGCCAGTTTCAAGAAGACCTGATGAATTCAGAGCGTAGAGGCGTAGAACAGAGAGATTGCTGTAGTGACTGGCTGACTGGCTTCATAATCATATGATTGGTCTGGCAGGGTACCCTCACTTGAAGTCCCACGTTGGAAGGTAAACCGAAGCAAAACTCATTGTTTCGAGGGCTCCTGCTTTCGAAAAGGGAAAGAGTCGAGTGGAGCAGAGCAAGATCGGGTGAAGCGCCTCAGATGCACAGAGTCTGACGATCGAAGCACCTCATGATTCTCTTCATCTTCTCGTCGCCCGAAGCTTCGGGTCAACGCACCAGGCGAGGCTTGGCTGTGGGCCGCTCCGAGACGGGTGAGGCTGTGGGCCGAGTCGAGGTCGACACAGGGTCGAAAGGGGGTCGAGGTCGGATTCGAACACTTTGGTTTGGGTCGTTCTTGGAAGTCGGATCAAGAAGCTCCGAACGGAACAAAGGGCATCGCTACGAGTCCGGAGCGATCGGACGCTACGAACGTAGCTCCTGGCCACACTACGAACGGAGCAAGGTTCGCTACTAGGAACAAGTGCATCGCTACTAGTAACAAGTGCCTTACTAGTAATAACAAGAACGCTACTAGGGGCTCCTGGCCTTACTAGTAGGAACAAGAAGCTACTAGCCTCCCCAAATTCCAGGCCTTCCGAACTCCGGGAAGCACGACCAAGCCGGGCAGGAGCGCATGTTCATCGTGGCCATCCAAGCCGATGTGACCGAACGTGGAAGCGATGAACTGCCGCTGGAGCACGCCAGTCAACTGCCCGGGCACCTGATGGAGCCGCCAGTCACGGTCGTTGATCGTTGCTGTGACACGAAGAGAATCTCCGATCTCAGGCAGCTTCCCGAGTGCATGGCTGTGAGTTCTTGGTGCACAAAACGACACTTAAGCCCACACAAAACACCCCCAACAGCATGCTATATCGACACTTCTGAGGAGCAGAATTGTAGACTCCCTTTTGTCCACCGGATGTTTTCAATCCATCAAGCGGGACCATGGTCGACCCAGACAAAGACCCTAGGCAACACATCGCGAACCTGGTCCGCGATGCCGGGGGGCCTCAGGGATGAGTCCCGGTCAGGGGCAGGCGGGGGAAAAGGAACTTTGCCCCACACATTTTCGGTGCGTAAAAAGACGCCCACCCCACTTTCCGGTGTTGCCCAAATCCACTTTCCGGTGTTGAAGACCTTTAAGCAGATCGATAGGTGTGGATCGGACACTGGCATGTTGGTAGAACTTCTCACACCAACGAGAGGGTGAAACCGCGAGAGAAACCGTTCAAGCTGATCTTCTCCGCTTTTTTTGGGAGGCCATCGCTCTTAGGTTGGAGGGTTACACCGCGAGAGGGTGACTTCTCCGCTGATCTTCTTCGCTTTTGGTCTCCGAGGAGTTGGTCTCGGGACTCCAAGAGGCCGCCATCGTCACGGTGGGGAGCCGAGAGTCCGAAACGCATCGCGACCGAGGAATGGATGCCCGTGATGAGACTGCTTGCTTCGTTTCTATCTTCTAATGGATTGTAGGGGCATGATTATTTTGGTTTGAACTTGACCTTGTCATTGATATCATGTGATGATCAGAAGCAAATCGCAACATAGGGAAAAATAGCTACTAGGTGGAGGCCATCGCTATTAGTTAAGTTTCCCTAAAAATCTAGGAACCAAATCATTAGTGCGAGCGCTTCTTCAAGGAAGCTTCCCCCGAAGAAGCGCGAGCTATCCTGCATCCTACCTAGGAGCTACTAGCTACTGCTAGTTACCTCCATTACTTAATTAAGTAGGAGCCTACTTACTTAAGTAGGGAGGGGGGGGGAGCGGGCCAAAAAACACATAAATATATGCTGCTTTCAGAAGTTTTTGACTGAACGCGGCCGGATCACACGACTGTGACAGGCACAAACCGCATCGGGAGCTGTGTGTGGGGGTGCCTGAGGAGCACTTCCGAGCAACATTTTTCATCGTCAAACGCTCGCGAAGATTCAGTCACATTTCTCGGGTCGAGAGTTTCATGGGCCCAACAAGGGAATTCAGAAAGGCCAAATCGCTCAGTTCAAGAGGACGCTACTAGGTGGAAGCCATCGCTACTAACAAGAAGCTACCTGGCCTTACTACTAGGAGCAAGGACGCTACGAACGGGGCTCCTGGCCTCGCTACTAGGAACAAGGTTCGCTACTAGTAGCTTTCGGACGCTATGAGGTTCTTTTCACCGAGGCTCCCACGTCGAAGCCGCGCGATCGCTGACCCGCGCGGTGCGCGCGGTTTGTCCGAGGCGAGATCCGACCCTACGAAGCGCCCCGGTGGATCATGGGCGAGGCACGGCGGAGACTTGGATGGTGCTACTGTGCACCAGTCGTCGGGGGGTACTGAAAACGGTGCTCAGTGGGTGAACAAAAACACCGTAATGCTTGGCAGAAGGTATATTGCTCAAGTCCAGCTGCCGGAACTGGTAAACATCGCAACAAAAACGATCATGCCTCATGCCCTAGCTACATCGCTGCACCTTTTCATGCAGTTCACATGGTACCCGCCTTCATCGCCTTGTTCTTGATCAATGTCGTTTCATTCCTGCGAGTCTGGCATTGCTGAATGCCTCGCGAACGAGTCTCCGACTGTCATTTCAAAGGCTGGAGAGCTCCGACCTCCGACCTCCACAGAGCCCCGGCTCCGACCTCCGACCAGCCTCGGCCTCGCTGCGAACTTCAGCAAACGTCGCTCGTCTTTTCACTGCTTTTGTCTGTGAGTCATGCCAGTCTCCATGTAAAGCTAGCTCGTCTTTTCGTTGTGCAGCTGACACAGTGTTGTTCTCCTTGATTCGAAGCTGTTCGCTTTGCCGCCTCCCAAAGAGGCTCGGTGAATCGTCAATGCAGCGGCCCCTCAAGAGTTCCATCGCCTAGCCCGATCACCGTTTTCATTTTTGCAGGTGTCCAAACCCTCTGCCTGCCTGCAGTGCCTGCTTGCAGTACCTGCCTGTGCCTGTGCCTGCAGTGCTGGTCTTCAGCTTCTCACCGAGCCTCTTGCGTTCCTCGCCCTTCGCTATGGAGAGCCCCTACTTCTTCCCGCGATCGCGCTACTTCCCGCGGCGCGACGTGTGGCGCGACGTGTGGAGAGATTCCAACAAATGCGGACACCTGGCGGACCCAAACACGAAGCAAGGTCGGTCGGTGGACAGACGGTGAGCTCGTGGTCGGATCGTCCGCCGCATCGAAACGATCCGTTTCGTCCGCGGGCAGGTCTACGACTGCGCGGCTCTGGGCGGCTGACGCGAAAAAGGGGCTTTTGGCGCGGTCGGCTCCCTTGCGATGGACTGAGGGACTTCCACACACACCAAAGGATTACAAGAAGTTTTCCATGGTTCTTCTCAGTGGGTCTAAGCATCTCGGTGAGAAGGTTTGCAAGGTACCTTGCAGTCTTTTGACTCTTTTGAAGGTTTGTTCTGGCCCTGGCTTATATGGTTGTTGCTTCGATATGTCAAAAGGGGCTGATTTACAGAAGGGTACGTGATGATTATATACTCACTGCTACATCAAAGCGCTGAGACAAACTTGTGGTTTAGACAGTCACATCACATTTGTGCCAGCACAGGACAACGAGTTAGAACGCTGGTGGTTGTCTGGTTTCACCAGGGGCCTTCCCTGAAGGCCTGAAGTAGGTCGGGTCCCATGGAACACATAGAGGTACCTGTTCTGGTTGACTTGGAGACGACATTCTTTTTGTTGGCCAAGAAAGGAACAGCTCTGCTTTGGACGAAGATGATACCGCGCGAGCACGAACGGACCTGCCGCAAATGGATCTTCTCAGGAAGCAAACCAAGAGGGCCAAGGAAGCACATGCTTCTCCACACGATATCAGATATATATAATGCAAGCGGAAGAACTGCTGCTACTGTGCCCGAGTACAAATGAGGGGACAGTGGAAGGAGTCGACGGATGCGACGGCAGCAAGCGGTCGAATTGACTCCTGTTTTCACTCTTGGACCTCAAATGACTTGACAGGTCGGTAGTCGGAGCTGCGAGTCCACGTGGCAACGTGCATGCCACCTCATGCGTTTAGCTCGCATTCTGGTAGTGGAAAGTGTTTCAACCATTCAACGAAAACGAAAACAACCACGGCCAACCAAGCAATCACCGAAGTGAGTCGATGTTGTTTTGCTGGTGGCTTTGTTGTTGTATGTGGTCTTCTGCTGTTTCGGTGTTCTGGAGGGGCTCCAACCCCTGTTCTTTGCGCTTACGCGCTGAGCTCATGTGGATGTCCTTCACTATCTTCCAGCGTTGCTTCATATCATAGAACACCATCAGCTGCTTCATCTCATGTTTGGTGAGAGAGTTGGCTAGCTGAGCTTCTGAATGAACCCATCGGATGTTAACACCATTGCGGTGTTGAGCATACTTGAGGCTGAGCATATCCAGGTCGGTTCTTCGCTCATGGCCTTTGGTGCATACCATCTCGGAAGAGGTTTTGTCGAAGACATTGCGTGAGTCGGTGATCACGCATCCTGGGATGGAGTTTACTGTTCTGTTGATCTGCCGCACATCGATGTCTTGGCCAAGCATCTCTGCAAATTGAAATCTTGCAAAGAAGAGAGAGTCTTCTGCATTAACAGCAGCCACTGCTTCTGCTGCTCCTGGGGAGCGACATACTCGCTGGATCTTGGAGGATTGCCAGAGAATTGGAGATATGGTCTCACTCTGTCCTGTCAACAAATCCACACTGGCTGCCCCAATGAAAATGCCCTGAGTGCTGCCACCATCAACTCGGTTTTGTGCTGCAGCGTCGCACCAAGCAAATAAACCTATCTTCTGTGGGTCCAGCTTGGGAATCCAAAGACGATGTTCTTTGCATGTTTTTACCTGATGCATCAATTTGTTAGCCCTGTTGAGAGTGTCCACCGTACTCTTGGTCACTTCGGACAGGAGCAGGCCTGTCTCGGCGGAGAAGTGTGGGGCTACCTGTTGTGCATGCCAGCTAACTCCTCCTAACAAGGCACGTAGTTGGCCTTTCTCATGGTCATCTGTGGCTGCATGCTTGTCCTTCTTGCGATGTGCTCGAATGTTGATGTACTTCAGGTCGTCAACATAGCTCTCCTGGGACAAGGAGTAGGAACCATCTGAGTGAGCCTCCACCTTGACTCCACATTGAACAAAGGTTCCAGATTCCCAGTCTGTCCATTTGTATTCTTGTTTGATCGCTGCAAGGACTGACTGCCATGCTGTGGAACTTTCGTTACCCGAAAATACGAAATCGTCCACATGACCAGAAATGATGCCTTCTAGCTGGTTGTTGTGGGTGAATGTCCAACAACAAGGGTCTGCCCACCATCGTTTGAGCTTGAGCTGGTTGAAGAAGCTGCTAACTGAACGATACCACTCCAGCGGTGCATCAACTAACCCATAGCAGGCCTTCTTGACCCGGGTGATGGTCTCAGCTGGTAGTCCCATAGCCTCCAGTATTTCTGGACATGGAATGCATAGGAGCTCTTCTGGATATTGTCTGGACTGGAGGAATGCTCCTGTGACATCGCCCTTATGGGTTGTGAAGCCCTTGGAGGCGGCTATGGTCAGCTGGATCTGACGGGTCTGCCGTGTTGTGGTGGGTGATGCTGTTGCCCTCTGCTCATAGTGGGGGTCCATGTACCCCAGTAGCACTGCCCTGGCCTTAGCCTTGGAGCCTCCGTTGGGAAGGGATTTCCAGGTCAGGATCCATCTCATACGAATGGCATCTTCCTTCTTGGCCCCCGATAACCCTCGGGCAGTGCTTCAAAGGCTTTTGCGGACAGGAAGTTTGTCACTTCCACATTCTTGGCCTTGCCGAACTCAATCTTCTCTTGTGGTGTCATTCGCCTCTCTGAGATCTCTATTGCTCTCTTCTTCATGGCGGACACCAAGAAGGCCGACAGGTCTTTCATAGCTCTCTCTGATGCGCCTCGAGACTGTGGCATCGTGATGGAGATGGCTATCATGGCTTCTTCTTGTGACCAGTAAGCAGGGGTCTCAGTGGTCAGGAACACTCCCTCTGAAACCTGGCTGGTCCAGCTTTCACCCGTGACAAAACCTACTGGTGGTTCTGGTCCCCGGCTTCTGGACCGATGTGTGTGGTCTCGCAGGGAGTGTGGAGGTGGCACGTAGGCTTTGTCCCTGGCGAGTCGCTCGAGAGATGTGTCTTCTCGGCTGGGGACTCGTGGGATAGGACTGCGGGATCTGCCGGCTCGTGTACCTGGCGGTGCGGGCCTCCAGCGACTGCTCTCGGGACCCTCTGGGCCAATTGCCACTGGTTCCTCCCTGGGATCTGGTGGTCGACCACGCTTTCCCCACTTGCGAACTGTGGGTTGCCACTCGTGTTGGGGGTCTCTGACCAATCCTCATATTCATTTCCCCCAAGTTCATCGGCGACTCGTGGAGGTCTTCGATGAGCTGTTCCTTCTCGGACGCATGCCTCAACTGTTCGGGACAGCACTTCAACAATCTTCTGCCACGTACCAGCCACACGGAGGAGCCTGGTACTAGATGTCCTTGAATGTCTTTGTGCTGTTCGGTGGCCAGGATTCTTGCTGGGCCCACGAAACGTCCTTGAGTGTCGTTCGATGGCCTCGCGTCCTTTCCAGTGACTTGTCGCCGCCAGATGAACACTAGGTCGCCTGCTGAAAAGTCCAGCACACGTCGATGGCGGGAGTTCAGTGCTCTTGTCATTCTATCGGCACTGTTCCAGTCAAGGAAGGCTTTCTCTGCAGTCAGCCTCAGCTCCTCTGTACGTTGGTGTCCTTGTGATGGGCTCTCTGACAAAATGTCTGGGGATGCTGTGCTGTCTGTTGTGAAAAATCTTCCTGTATCATCGGGTGCACGGCCAATCACGTGTTGTAGTGGAGAATATCCACGAATCACCTCACGACAGTTTAGCGCCCTCACACTTTCTGCGAGCGCGTCTTCCAGTGTACTGTCTGGGTGAGTGGTCAGCACCTTGGTGAGGATGGTTTTGATGGACTGCGAGCTACGTTCACAGACACCCAGCTTCCAATGTGCTTCACCGGGGACCAAATCCAAATAGATATGGTGCTGGTCACAGTATTCACTCAGTTCTCTGCTCCTGAAAGCACCATCGGGATCTAATCTTAACACTCTGGGGGTGCCGAAATAGCTGCACCATGCCTCTTTTAATGTGGTGATGAACTGTGCGGCTGACAGGTGTTTTTGCTTACCCTTCAAAACCACTCGTGACACCTTGAACCTCGAACCTTCGTCAACCACAACCAGGAATTGAAAATGTTCTCCCGTGTGCGGATGGACCATGTGACCAACGTCGGACGAGATCGTGTCGAACTTCGGAGGTTGGGGCTCCAGGGCCGACAAGTTCCGAGGGTTCGGACGAGCACGCTCCTCGCACGTGGAGCGCCTAAATTGTTGGGCGGCTTTCAAGATATCAGCATGAACACCTCTTCTCCTAAGTGCCTGGACCATGTACCGAACAGGACTATGTCCAGTGGCCGAGTGAAGGAGGTGAAGTCTCTGTTGAATCTGGTCGGGACTCAGAGAACATGGGCCGGAGGGTGATCGGCGGCCATAGCCTCCGACAAACAAACCCTGCAATGTCCACAAGTCACTTCGGACCCATGCACACGATGTTCCACACACACGCAAATCGACCCCTTCCCAAACAGATCACTTCCCTTCAATCTACCCTGAAATTCATCACACAAGGTCACCTTCGTGTCCCCCTGCAAAATCGTCTCGCAAACGCGACGCGCGAACTCACGAGTGTAGAAAGCTGATTTCTTGGTGAGGGGGCCTTCACAAGGGACATGAACCGTGGATTGAGCACACTGACATGGCATGTTCATGCGAGAGGCCATCAGAGGACTAGTAGTCATCAGTTTCCAACCCTTCGAAACGAACGATCCCGTCGGATTGCGAAGGTTCACTCGACAACCACGAACGACGGCGAACTGGGTTTGGTACCTGGAGGCCATATGTTGGATCATGGGAAGTCTCCAGGCCTGACATGATTGGGCCCATTCCCACGTCACATGGGTGCCCCGTTGGGCACAGTAAGCGAACACGATGGCACCTCCAACATACTGTTTAAGAACCTGTCTACGTTTCTCCTCCAGTTCCTGTTTCTGGGCCTCGTTTCGTTGATTGATGTTTTGCATCACAGAATATGGTCCACATTCAGTCGAAATCCAAACATGAGCGGGGTTTTCATGATCAATCTTATCCAAAACTGCATGCACTCCGGCGTTCGTCGTCAGAACGAACTGATTCCAAATGGAAGCTCT